ATGCTCTTCTTCTGTTAAACAAGTGTGCTCACTTTCTTCATATTTCTCACCATTATCAGTAATGGTTCTCTATTTACAAATACTTTTAAAATACCCCTGTGACTTAACTACTTGCCAGTCTATGTACTATGCACTTCATAGCTTCTAGAGAGGAGTAACTTTTTTTTCTTTCAATGTTATGCAGCATTATGTTGCATGTTTCAAACAGTTAAACTGTGTTTTGTCATCAACAGTCAAACCAGCCAAAGCGGTAATGTCAATGTTTTCTCTCAGATTATAATAATCATGCTGCTATTTAAAAATATTACAATAATTGTTTCATACATCAATCTTACTCATTATTTTGAGCACATCAAGGAGGCAACCTATCATTATTCAGTCTATGTATTCTTTTTGATACGTTCACACCATTTGCTCTCTGTCTTTTGGCAATTCCCTCAGAGTACAGGATCATATACAGCAATTTAACAGTGGCACAAGGATGGGGTAGCTGTTCTACTGTCTGTGACTTAAAGATACTTCATCCTATACTGATGCTTCTTTCCTCTCAAATGCTGGGAGGGCATGAGCTATAGATCAAATGCATTGTTCCCACAGTCTACTGACCTCATCTTTTTGCCTCCTTCATTTGTTAGAATTCCTTGGTGTTTCCCTCCTGACATGATTAGAAATTATGTGCCTATAAGTAAGACATATTATGTCATTTGAGAGTTGCATTTTTTGCTGGGAGGTAGAAGAGAAAATGTGCACTGGCTCACGTGCCCCAGGTGTGGTTGCACATCCCATCATGTGACATGGCCTGGTACCCTTGCCTTCTCCTGTATGTGCCAATTAGGGTCCTTGCTATAAGATGAAAATGTATGAATACCATTTTTACATGGCATACAGCCCATGGGTACTTCTTAACAAGGTTGTGAGTCCCACTCTGGCCTCAAAGGCTGACATCAATGGTTGGGAAATCTCCTCAGCCAATTCTTTTAACAATCTCACCTTTAAAAATGAAAGGCATTCGCTTCTTTGCAGTCTCTCAGTTGTGTTTTAATATCTCTAATTCTAAAAAGAAAAGAAAAAAAATCCAAATTTGTTGACCTTTGTGAGACATTATCAGTTGCAGATTTAGTTTAAGATGAAGAATTCTGGTAGGAAGAACCTGACAGGTCCAAATCCCTTAGTGCTGAGATCATTTGTTCATCTATTATAACAAATCCAGAATATGTACCTCTAGTCAGACATTCATCCATGTATCCACGTTACTACTTGAAGTATTAAAATAAAGTAGCAGACTTGAAAATATTTCAAAGTGGGAATGGAGTATATCTGCTTGGTTACTTACAGTATTATCATTGCTGAAGGATCAGAGGAAAAGAGTGCTCATTTTTAAACCAGAATGAAAATAAAACTTACTGAAACAAATTCTTTTATAGTATTTCTCTTCCTTTCATGTGTAAAGGAAATAGGGTATGGAAGAAAAGCCCATGCTTTAAAAGAATTATTCACTAGGTACAGGCTTGCATACCTAAGCTTAGGTGATAACCCAAGTAGTTGATTTTTTTCCTGTTTCTTTCTGAATTAGAGTAGGATACATTTATTTCTCTTAATGTCTTTCTTTGTCCTGTAAGCCGGTGAATTTTCCGGGCCATCTTGCTGCCGGTCATGTATAGAACTGCGTCCGTGGCAGCTTCAGCTTTGCTGAGCAGCAGTGTCCCTGCCATAAACCCTGCCGGGACTGACTTGCAAATTAGGAATCATCCCAATTTATCTGACACACAAACAACATCAAGCATCGAGTGAAATGCAGATATCCCTCCTTTTTTATGCCAGTGTGTACTTAAGTTGTACTTTCACTGGATCTGACAGCTCATTGCTATGAAAAGCCCAAGGAAGCTATGAAAGGCTCCAAGCATCTCTCTTACTCCTGGATGCTGATGTGGTTTGGCATTTTTTGCTGTTTGTATGATGATATAGTATGAATGAGACCTGAGACTGGAATGCCAATCTTTGTGATTCACCCTAGCCATAATGCTTCAGTTAGTCCCGTATTCACAAACCTTCTAATTATTTTAATTTTGTTTGTTTAGTTCAATATGCAGTTATACAAGGCAAAGTGAACAGCCACAGCTCTCCAGTACCCCATTGCCTGTAGCCTCTGACACTCACCTGGGAGGACAAAAAGCTGGGACAGGGACTGGGTCTCCCATATTCTAGGCCACTGTCTAAACACTCACCCATGTGGCAAATGGCGGGTAGCATTGGGCCTTCCTCTGACAACTGCATTTTCTCAAGTGATGGCTTTAAATCCTTACCTTCTGCAGATATTTGGTGCTTAAGCAACATCATCCTTCTCGGTATTCCTATTCAATGGGTTAGGTAGTTCCCTAATGGCACACTGTAAACATTTATCATCGATAAGGCTCAGTAAATCCCATTCTTATACATCTGCCCCTCCTCATGCATCCCACAGGAGAGGCTCCACATCTGCCTCTGACCTGCAAGCTCAGCTACACAGCAGGGTACCTGCAGTCATGCTGAGATGCAAGTGATGTGATATGAGATTGTTTTGCCAATATTATGATGAAGGGTGAAGCCTACCTTTCATCATGTGCTCTAAAATTCTAGTTGCTTTAAAGAACAGCATTTGTAGTGGTGCTGTCACTATCTTTTTCAGTGCAAGCATTCTTGAGATTTTGTTCCATGTTAAACAGCTCTCCATTGTACTCCCCATCGCAATTTTATTTAATATCAAATATTGTCAAACTGCAAAAATGATAAAGGGATACTACGATACATCTCTTAGTTTCAGCTAGCAAATACAATAAATTAAAAGGAAAAGCCCCAAATCACCTGGTCTTTGAATTCATTTTATTGTTCCCAAGCTGTCTTGTCATAGCTTTTTAAAAAATAAATCATATGTATCTCGTATCATGGTGTTATTACATTGCATAAAATGCATGGAATTATTCAGTACACTGAGTACTAGCAAGTAGCAAGAAACTGCTGGAAACCTAAAAAAGCTCTATTTTTAATCCAGTTTCCTTTGAGTGACACTCTTGTGGTCTCTTTGACTGCAATGAAAACTTTTATTGCTGTTATTGTTGTGCTATAACAGAGCTACTTGAAAAAGAATCCCTAACCACAACATTTGATGTCCTGCGTGTTATGGTTGAATTCACGAGATGACCAGAACCTGTAGCTGATTTGTCCTTCCAGCAAACCACCGTCCTCCTGCCCCGTGCCGCACTGCTTGCAAGGGCAAACTACGCGCAGAATATCCCTGCACCTTCCAGGATGCCAAGTTGGGTTTTGTGCACCAGCTCCTCTCGGGCTGGTACCATGATGGAGAGAGCTGCATTGCAGCCTCCCCACTACCCCTCACACATAAAAGGAAGCCAAGGGGCAGCAGCGGCTGTTGCAGCTTACTGAGGAGGGATGGAGCTGAGGGCAGCCATAAAACTGGCTTCTTGGCGAGAGAGCAAGCTGCACCTCCCCAGCCATAACAAATCTCCTCACCTGAGTGGCACTGACTCGGCAGGACAAATGGTGAGCAGTGTTTTCAGAGCTGTGCATGTGCTAAAATGGTTGTCTTTGCTTTTGGTGTTTACAGTGAAAATTACATGAAGGTGAACGTTCTCAGGGTGGATACCAAGATACCGCGTCACTGATGATGAATTTCGCCTGGAACACCACTCACTGGGTAAAGTCACAGTGGAGATCTCAGTCTTCCTAAAGTCTAGTCTCCTTTTCTGGCCAGTAAGTTGTCTGAATTAAACGGTCACTATTGACAAAATTATCTTTCCTGCTCTTTGTCCCACAGGCGCCTCTCTCCCCGTTGGCTGAGAGGGTCTCATCTTGTGGAGAAGACCTTTTCCGGAGAACCCAAAGGACAGCAACACTGAAGAAAATGGACACCGTGCCCAACACCAAAGTCAGCCCCAGGTACACGTACCTGAGAGAGAAATGATTGATCAGAGCCTATTTCAAAGGCAACATATGACTAGAAGGCATCAAGGACACATTCATATTTTCATGCAGTAAGGCTGAGTAAGAAAGATCTTCAAGCAAGGTGATGATGCTGGAGATGAGAGTTTGCCAGCTCGCTCAGGTCAGGTATTGTGTGGTCTGTGGCCAAGAAAGCGTCTCAGGCATTGACTGACCTCCTCCACCCCACTGTGCTTCAGTGAGAATAACACTAATATTTCTAGGGCTATTAATTTATTTTTTGGTTGCTTCATAAACGGTACTAGTAATACCAGACCATTTGATGGTATTTTTGCTTTACAGGCATAATGACAGTAGCAACAACAGCAGCAACAATAACATCATTATGCTTTATTAGTAATGAGTCCCAACTGAGCTTTTGTTCTTCAAATTTTCAAAACAAGATGTACCCTCCCCTCGTGTTTTTTCCTGAGGGTGGGAGGAAAGGCAACCTACTTTCTCATTTTTCTTTTACCGTTGTTATTCCATTCTCCATTTCTGGTAATGCCTTTCATGAATGCAGTTCAGATAATTACTCTCCTCTAGCAATAAATTGATAAAGACAACACTGCGTTTAAACCTTTACGTAAGCCAAGCGTGCTTTGTAGCACCCTTCCCTTCCTTTTTGTGGTCCAGCTCCAACATGAAGCAATGATGAGGTTTGACAGACCTTTTACTTATTTATTTATACACACACACCCCCCCTGTCACAGCAAAGTTGCTAAAAAAGTGGGGGAAGCTTTAGCATAAAATTGAGGTTTTAAATGAACTTTTTGGGGGGTGAAAAATCAAGTGACTTAAGTATTTCCAGCTGATATTGAAAAAAGATGACCCCCCGAAAAAAGAGACTAAACCAAAAGAGAATGCTAAAAACCTGAGCATTATTATTAACATTGCTAGTCAGACTCTTTCATTTGGCATCATACCTTTCACTCAAATTTTCGTACAGAAATTCTTCTACCAGTGCCAGGTGTAAATGTACCTAAAGAACACAGGTTAAAGAACGAATGGAAAAGAGCTGTTACCTGAGTGCACTGGAGTCATAGAGTCTGCACGCTCCTCTTCCCCCACATCTTTTGCTTCCCCATTTCAGGCAAGTGGTATCTATGGCCACTCCAAAATACACTGGGGCTGGAATTCCCGCTGGTGTATTTGACAAATAAATAGAGGCAAGAAGGTTACTTTCCAGGGTGATCAGTTCTGATCTACAGACATGTTCATGTAGAACATTAAATAATACATTCGAACAGCAATGACACTTCCACGCTGTTTGCTGGTTCGAGAAGTCGTGCCTTGTGCTGCCCAGGCACGCACTGCCCTTTCCTCCCTGTGGGGATCAGGGTGGGGAGGAAACGCAGCTGAACATCAAAAAGCCAGTAGAAGTCAGCGGAAGGAGTGCTGGCCATGGCTTGGTTTCCTCGCCCTGCAGGACTCCCCTGGGAAAAAAAAAAAGGAGATAATTCTCCTTTCCTGAGAGCGATGGAGCCTGTTCAGCTTGGGGCTGGGAGGTGTCCTGTGTGTTGTTGGGGGGGTGAGAGGGGAGAGAGGCAGCAGGGCTGGGAGCCTGCAGTGGGGCTACAAGTATCCTGAGATCCTACTGTGGCAGGGGAAACCTGCTGCAGTGCTTGTGGGTAATGGAAAGAAAAAGCCTTTCTTCAGGTGCTAATGGGGACATCGTGGACTCTATGCAGCCTGGGGAGCTGCCCATGGTTGCTGGAGAAGAAAGTAAGCCTGGAGGTAAAATCCTGGACTGCAAAGGTGTAAGAAAGCAGCCAACAACTTGTTTTGATGTCATTTTATCTGCCTCATCCAGCTCATCTTAGTCCACTTTATTTAAAAAGTGACTTGCTTCTTGTTAATTATTACTTTTTCTATGAAGACCTAGAGGATTTTAGTGTTTCCAGTTCATTGGCATTTCATGGAACCCTTGATTTTATAGAAAACTTATAGGTGGCTCTACCACAAGGCTGCAGTGAACCCTGCCCTCAGGCACACCTGTATTAGATTAATTCCCTTAGAAACTAATGAAAATATGCCCGAAAAATGATCACAAATTCTGAGCCATAGCTGTTCTATAATGCTTGTTGTTGAATAAGGAGAGACAAGAAGTAATTTTGATGTTAGCTTCATAGACCGAAGGATCACTTGTCACCTCTATGGATGTTAGCTGTGTATATTTTTATGATACCTAAGACACAGTTTTATGATTTATGAAATACAAAGCTGCTTCCTTTTTCCAACCCTTTTCTTAGTTTTTTTTTAAAAATCATGTAATATTAACTCATCAGTTAGACATCGTTCTTTCCAACAATCAAAGTTTAGTTCTAGGATAAACAATTAGTGAGGAGTGTATTAAAATAGGCGCAAAAGTACAACTGGACTCACCAAGTACTCTTATTGCCAGGGTATGGATACCAAGTGCAAATGATTTCAAGTGTGGTTTAATGCATCTAAAAACAAACAAAAAATGGTGTTAAATAAAAATAAAGAATTGACTGTGGATAATTTGAACACGAATAGAAGGAAGAAAATAAAGGAAGGAAAAAAATGTGAGCTTTTCCTCCTTACAGACACTGACTTTAACAGAATTACATAAATATGTAAATAATGTGATAAAATCAGAACAGTATCTAGGAATTCTGAACATCTATATTCAATATCAGATTTTAAGAAGGTGGTGCGTTTTCAGATAATACCAGCACTTAGGAGTTTCTAACGCAGGACAAGAAAATTGGTTGTGAAATCACGCATCATTGGATAGTCTTATTCAGTTAAACACGCTCTGAAATTGTGGATCATGACCCAGGCTAGTACAAGGTATTTAGGCACTCAATTTTCCTTGCACTGTATCTAGGATCAGGATCACATCTCCTGTAAAGGTAAATCCTCCAAGCCATTCTCTGACAGAACAAACCATTTACATTTGGATATTTTTGAGCTTGCAGTGGGGGCCCAGCACAGACATTGGTCCTTCTGGCTCCAGATCAGCCCTGCTCCAGTCTTGGATCATTGTCCTGGCTCTTCTAGGAAGGTGGAGGTGGTGGGCAGGAGAACAGCTGCCTTTCACATCCATGCTAGCAGCAGTATGCGTATGGAGCCACTCAAATTAGTAAGAGTCATCTGCTGCTAACCTCACCAGCTGCTCAAGTGTGCTGTTTCACCCAGCATGCATCAGACTGCCTATTACAATACCTAATCCAGAAGAACCTGAGTACATGCTTTACTTTTTACATGTGAGTAGTCCCAGTCACACAATTAAACTGGGACATGCTTGATATGTGGGGTGAGTAACACGTGTATCATTATGGTAACTGATAAAACTCCCTGTTGTCACAGTCATTCTATTCAATATAAAAAGAAAAAAAATGGGCTGAAATTCAGTTGTTACTATGGATAAACACAGCACTTTGGAGGTCCAGTCTATGTGCTCTGAACTAGGATGGACTCAGCTTCTGCAGAAATTCATGTAATTGGGAATACCTTTTAAAACATAATGAAGACATTGCAGAACTAGCTCTTTTGTTCCCCACCAGTGATGTTTTATTATTTCCCAATGTAGCTGCCAGAACAGCAATAAGAACCCTTGTTGTAAATGATATTCAGATCACCTTCCCTTAATTTAGTGAAAATGGAAAAGGATGTGAAGAACATATATGGGAAACAACACCAAAGTACCACGGTCAAAAAATCGTTGTGTGGATCTCATTTTGTAATCTGAGTGCTTTATTCTCCAATGCCCTGATCATGGATTATCATCATACAGTCTGATACATTGTGGCTTATACAGGCAGTTGCCTGCCATCTATTGCAGGCATGAATGTAACATGACTTTGAGCTGGAAGAACAGTGTTTTGCCCTCCTATCAGATACATGCTATACAAGTAAACCTCAGCGCAGAAGTCCTTCTAAGCAAATACGAGGGCATAGAAGGCAAAAAGTGGAAAATAAAACCAATAACTGGATATTTATTGTGTGTTCCATAGGATTTATATCCTGCAAAATATCTTCTCTTTCAGATGGAAAAAGGATTGTTTGAGCATTTGTATTGTCTTTGCATGGAAACACGAGTTCTTTGAGATCCTGAGTGAGAGCCAAACCTCTCAGGGAGATCTGAGACTTCCTTTTCACTACCTAATCACCTGCTAATAATAGCTTGTGCTTGAACAACAGCTATCTGAATTGCAGGGTTTTTTCTCCAAAACTTCAGGGCTTTCCCAAGTTCATTGGCAATTGTAATTAGTCTAATACCACTAAAGAGACATTTCAACAAATGACTCGGTCACTAACTATAAGCACATTTCAGTGATTTCAGTTGTATAAACCCTTGAAGTAAATGTCACTAAATCTTACAGGCTTTTAGGGATTTAGCTGTATTTGTGCTCCATGTCAGGTGCAACGATATCTGCTCATCTGAAAACATCAGCTTGCTTAAGTGCTGGAATCTTATCAGAGCTGACTGAATACTGAATAATTTTAAAAACAGATAATTGGAAAAAAATACTTAATGAAGTCTGCAACATGACCTTGGGACTATTTGTTTTCGAAGAGAATTTATTTTCTTTCTGGGAACAGAAGCACACTTTTGGCTCAGATGGCGAAAGCCAGTCAGTGATGGATTTCGGAAATGCAAGCGTGAGCTTAAAGTGGATTGTGCCCACAGGTCATTTGCAGAGGAAAAAAAAAAAGATTGAACATGTTTTATTTAGCTGCACATCAGATTCGGGTGCCTTCAATCCAGCAGAAAAACACATAACTTTGCAGTTTCAATTAAATGTCTCTCAAAGTAAAATGATTTTCAACAGAAATAAAAGCTCTGGAGCAGAACCGATAAAGCTGTTTTGCTGATTTCATATAACAAAATGTTTTAGTATCTTTATTGAAAACCTCTCTAAGCTCTTCTGAATAAATCCATTAAGCATTAAGTCCCCCGAGAGCAAGTTCTTAGGGTTGAGAAGTGCAGGCAACTCTGTGTGATTTAAGTTCGTAGGTGTTCAACTATGAACGTCTCCTCCCAGACACTTCTGCAGTAGAGACAAGATGGAAAGCAGGAGGTTGAGCATGGCAATGATGATTCGGAGGCCCTGTGTGGTACCATATCTGTACATTTTCTACCACATGTTCTATGGATAGAAAGGGGACACTATGAGGAGGGAAAGGGGAAGGAAACTGCATCCCTGCATAGCCCTATGCCCTTATTTATACAACAACCCCCCCAACCCTGTGTCAGAAGCAACAACAGAGGGCAATCTGGCGGAAATCCCGAAGGCTTTGCTACAAGCTCTCAACTCGTGAATCGTCCTCCTCATGGACAGGTTCAGTGGTGCATAAGCTTCAGTAAAAATTGTCTAAAATGGATTATAATATGATTGTTCTTCTTGGAATAACTCGTTGGGGGGAGAGAGAGAGATGCCATGTGGTTTTGCAGTAATGGTAGCCCTACAAGGTGGGTGGGGAAAGCTATGCAGCTTATATGGTTTAAGGTATATACCTCACTGGCAGTGTTTGTGGAGGGCAGTGGAGAGGGATGTTCACCTCAATCATTTCCAAATGTCTCTGTGTGAATATTACTTGGGGTTCAAGGACTGTGCTAGCACCATAGCTGAAGTTAAATTTCTTTATTTAGGTTTTTCCATATAGCCTATATTCAGCCAGTTCTAGCACTGGCTTTTTCCATGTGATACAGAGACATTGGCAACGAGACAGAGCCTGTTCCACAAAATTTCATTCAAAACCAAAGAGAATTTTGGGGTAAGAAAACACAACAATAATAAAGATTAGTTAAACTGTATTTACTGTTTTTTTTGTTTGAGAAGTAGAATGTACCCATCTGGAAATAATTTGGAAAGAGGAACTGAGAAAGAAAGCTTTCCAAAACAAAGCCGAGCAGCACTTAGAATCCAAAAATTGCAAGAAGCTGACAAAAATCCAGATTAATCACTGGAAGTATTATATTCCTTTTGCACTTTCTAAAATTAGCTTAAAAGCTTACACTTGGTGATGGACAAATAGTACCAGCAGTTAAATACGTATTGGAACAACCCCTTGGAACAAGCATTTAATAAACCCGTGATTATTACAACAGAAAAAAAAAACATCTCATGTTAAATCTATCTTTGTTTTGAAGAGAGAAATCTAAGATGGAACAATTATATGGAATAATAAAATGGACTAGAGGAGAAGAGTTGAGTGTGTATAGAGGGTTTGGGTTAGATCACCTCTGTGTAGCTGTGCATCGGTATCCGTAACAAGTGAGGAAAACTGGCTACC